AACTCACTCATGCTCAACCTTGAGCATCACCCATGTCCAGCTGAGTTTATTTCCCTAAACATATTGTTTGTTCAAGCTGTCCGCTATGAATATCATGAGTGCATCCATGCGTAGTCACTCAGTTGTGTTCAACTGTTTGTGACCCCATGGACTGCAGCCCTCCAGGCTCCTCTGTCCATGGGGATTCTCCAGGCAAAAATACTGGAGAAGGTTGCCATGCCCTCCTCCAGGCGAATCTTCCCAACCCAGGGATCCAGTTCTCATCTCCTGAATTGCAGGCGAATTCTTTACTCACTGAGCCAGCAGGGAAGCTCATGACTCCTTCCTTTTTTATTCACGAATGTTGAAGAAATACCCACTCTGTGAAATGAGCCCTCCAAGCTGATAAAATGCCCTCTTCTGTGCTTAATCAATCATAGAGTTTGACATATTACATCATAGTTGACTTGTCTGATTTCCCTACCATTAGCTTTTAGAAGAAAGATGATTAAAAAGCAAATCTCAGAATCCTTGCCTCCTGACACATTGTAAGGAATTAGTAAATCTTTACCAAATTACTAAATTTTCTTTTCAGGGGATAGAAGGGAAAGTGTAAAACATTCTAATCTGGTAGTACAGCACTGGCAAGGCCCTCTGGTGATAGACATCACAATGAATTTGTTTTCTGTTTTCTTCCGTTCCTTTATCTCTCTTTCCTCTAGGATCAGTTTCATTTTTTATCTTGGTCCTCTGTTTTATGTTGACAGTTTTCCTCCAATGTCTGATTACCTTAGTTGTCTGGTCATATTTATGAATCTGTTCGCTTTTATGGTTGGATGGCATGGGTTTCCTCTAAAATTGTGTTGATCTGCTTCCCCCACAAACCTCTTTCTGGAATGGGAGAGCTGACTGTGGGTTCTGTTTAAGTGGGTAGGGCTTGTCAACAGGCAGTCTTCCCTTTAGGTTATGTGGGTGGAGAGGCAGAAAGGCTGGGACCCCCACAACTGATAAAGAAGGGCTTTCCTCTGGGGGTAGAGCCCTTTAGAGGGTTTCACTCTTGACTGAGGCTGATTTTCTTTCTGTTTTCTTTTTCCTATTCATTGGAGAGCTATCAGGGCCCTCCCTAGGTTTTAGCCTGAGGGCAAAGGCCCAGTATTGCTGCTGACAAAGGATCCATGGGGGAAGGGAGAGAGGAAGAAAGGGGTCACTTGTCCTAGCTGTTCCACTCTAGCACTTAAAAAAAATAGTTGTTTATTTATTTATTTATTCCACTGTATTCATTTTATTTTTTAATTAATTTATTTATCTTAATATGGAAGCTAATTACTTTACAATATTGTGGTGGTTTTTGCCATACATTGACATGAATCAGCCATGGGTGTACATGTGTCCCCCCATCCTGAACCCCCCTCCTACCTCCCTCCCCATCCCATCCCTCAGGGTTGTCCCAGTGCACTGGCTTTGAGTGCCCTGTTTCATACATCAAACTTGGACTGGTTATCTACTTCATATATGGCAATAAACATGTTTCAATGCTATTCTCTCAAATCATCCCACCTTGCCTTCTCCCACAGAGTCCAAAAGTCTGTTCTTTATATCTGTGTCTCTTTTGCTGTCTCGCATATAGGGTCATCGTTGCCATCTTTCTAAATTCTATATATATATACATGCTAATATACTATATTAGTGTTTTTCTTTCTGACTTACTTCACTCTGTATAATAGGCTCCAGTTTCATCCACCTCATTAGAACTGATTCAAATGCGTTCTTTTCAATATATGAGTAATAGTCCATTGTGTATATGTACCACATATACATTTCTTATCCATTCATCTGCCAATGGACATCTAGGTTGCTTCCTTGTCATAGCTATTGTAAACAGTGTTGCAGTGAACTTGTCTCTTTCAATTCTGGTTTCCTTGGTGTGTATGCCCAGCAGTGGGATTCCTGGGTCATATGGCCATTCTGTTTTCAGTTTTTTAAGGAATTTCCACACTGTTCTCCATAGTTGCTATACTAGTTTGCATTCCTACCAACAGTAAGAGGGTTCCCCTTTCTCTGCATCCTCTTCAGCATTTATTGTTTCTGGACTTTTTGATAGCAACCATTCTGATCGGCATGAAATTGTACCTCATCATGNTTTCTGTCTTTTTGCCAGTACCATACTGCCTTTATGACTGTAGCTTTGTAGTAGAGCCTGAAGTCAGGCAGGTTGATTCCTCCAGTTCCATTTTTCTTTCTCAAGATTGCTTTAGCTATTCGAAGTTTTTTGTATTTCCATACAAATTTTTAAATTATTTGTTCTAGTTCTGTGAAAAATACCACTGGTAGCTTGATAGGGATTGCATTGAATCTATAGATTGCTTTGGGTAGTATACTCATTTTCACTATATTGATTTTTGTTGCAGTGTATGGGCTTCTCACTGTGGTGGCTTCTCTTGTTGAGGAGCATGGGCTCTAGAGCTCAGGCTTAATAGTTGTGGGGCACAGGCTTAGTCACTCCAAGGCATGTGGGATCTTACCGGACCAGGGATCAAACCTGTGCCTCCCGAAGTTGGCTGGCAGATTCTTATCCACTGGCCCACAAGAGAAGTCCCTATTCCAGATCTTAAATGAGTTACCATAATGATTTCTTCCCCACCTACCCCACTCTTTGCATTTACCAACTCTGAGATTGCTGTGCTGTTGAGAAAACCCACTCAGTCTGAGTTTTTGAATTGCAGTGTTTTCTGCTGTGATTTCTCTGTTAGCCCAAATTCATTGACTTTTTTACTTCCCAATATCCCTTTAAAATTTATTTCACATTGATGTCATCTTTTCTTGTTTAGCATTGTTGCTGTGATTTCATTCTTTTTATATTTATTTATTTTCAAATATTTATTTATTTATTCGGCTGTGTCAGGTTTTAGTTGCAGCACACAGGATCTTCAATCTTCATTGCAGCTTGTGAACTCTTAGTTAAAGTATGTGGGAACTAGTGCCTTGACCAGAGATTGAACCCTGACCCCTTGCACTAGGAGCATAGAGTTTTCACCACTGGACCACCAGAGAAGTCCCTACATTTACTTTTGACTAAGTAATACATTCACATGGTTAGATATATAAGTGATACAAAAGTGTATGTAATGTAGAGTCTTCTTTCAGCCTTTTCTGCCTAGTTCTTCACTGGCAACCAATATTGTCAGTTTCTTAGTATCTCCCAGAGATGCTTTTATGTACATTCAATGTACATTCAAACAAATACAGTTATTCTCTTTCACTCTTTTTTACACATAGTAGTATACAATGCACTGTGTGCATCATTCTTTTTTCATCTAACACTATACCTTGGAGATTAGTTTATGGCAACAAAGTGCTTCTTTTTTCTTTTTTTTAAAGAATTGTATAATATTCCATTATATGAATGACATGCCACAATTTATCTAACTAGTCCCCTCTTGATGAACATTTAGGTTGTTTCCAGTCATATGATATTAAATAATGCTGCAACAAATAATCCTATACTTATTCATTTTTTATTTAAAATTTGTTAAAATTTTACTTTAGAGTATATTTGATTTAAATGTTGTGTTAGTTTCAGGTGTACAGCAAAGTGATTTAATTACACTAATTCACTTTTTAAGCATTTCTGTGGGATCTGGAAGGCTAAAAATCACACACACAAACACACACACACAAAGTTCTTTTTTAAAAAATTTATTTATTTGGCAGCAGTGGGTCTTAGTTGCAGAATGTGAGATCTAGTTCCCCAACCAGGGACCAAACCTGGGCCCCTTGCATTGCATTGGGAGCATGAAGTCTTAGCCACTCGACCACCAGGGAAGTCCTATATATATGTATATATATGTAGGAGTTATATTATATATTAACAATATATATATTAACATTGACTAATCAATGTGTTAACCTGAACACATCACACTCAAAGGAAGAGAATTTAAAAGTTATTGTTTATTTTCCATTAGTCAGATCAATGCATGGTTCAGTTCAGTTCAGTCGCTCAGTCATGTCTGACTTTGTGACCCTATGAACCGCAGCACGCCAGGCCTCCCTTCCCTGTCCATCACCAACTCCCGGAGTCTACCCAAACCCATGTCCATTGAGTCAGTGATGCCATCCAACCATCTTGTCCTCTGTTGTCCCCTTCTCCTCCTGCCCTCAATCTTTCCCAGCATCAGGGTCTTTTCAAAGGAGTCAGCTATGATTTTGGAGCCCAGAAAAATCAAGTCAGCCACTATTTCCACTGTTTCCCCATCTATTTGCCATGAAGTGATGGGACCAGATGCCATGATGTTAGTTTTCTGAATAGTAAATACATAGTAAATTGTGTTATTCAGCTTCTTCAAAGCCAGGCGGACTTCCCTGATAGCTCAGTTGGTGAAGTATCAGCCTGCAACGCAGGAGACCCCAGTTTGATTCCTGGGTCAGGAAGATCCACTGGGGAAGTGATAGGCTACCCATTCCAGTATTCTTGCATTTCTCTTGTGGCTTAGTTGGTAAAGAATCTGCCTTCCATGTGGGAGACCTGGGTTCGATCCCTGGATAGGGAAGATTCCCTGGAGAAGGGAAAGGCTACCCACTCCAGTATTCTTGGGCTTCTCTTGTGGCTCAGCTGGTAAAGAATCTGCCCGCAATGCGGGAGACCTGAATTCGATACCTGGGTTGGGAAGATTCCCTGGAGAAGGGAACGGCTACCCACTCCAGTATTCTGGCCTGGAGAATTCCATGGACTGCATAGTCCATCGGGTCACAAAGAGTTGGACACAACTGAGTGGCTTTCACTTTCACTTTCAAAGCCAGGCATTATGAGACAAGTGCTTGGGGCTGGTGCACTGGGAACACCCAGAGGGATCGGGTGGAGAGGGAGGTGGGAGGGGGGATTGGGATGGGGAATACATGTAAATCCATGGCTGATTCATGTCAATGTATGGCAAAAACCACTACAATATTGTAAAGTAATTAGCCTCCAACTAATAAAAATAAATGGAAAAAAAATATCATTTGGGGAAATATCCCTTTGGACTGTTAAAAAACAAACAAACACCAAAGCCAGGCATTACATTTTAAAGCTTCCAATGCAAAGTCCTATCTCACCTTGAGGATTCTGGTTTCACCTTGTGGGATTCTCCACACAAGTCTGCAGCAAACAACCTGAGATGGCTTGATATCTGTTGCTTCCATCCAGATGCTGCACTTGGTGAGATTGTAAGATGCATTTCCTGGAGATTTTTCCTTCAATCAGTTCACTTGCTCAAATCAACATTCACAGCCTGCTTACTGTGGCCCAGGTGCTGAGTTGGATGCTGGGAATACAAAAATAAAAATGATAATCCCTACCCTATCAGGAGCTCTCAGTCTAGAAAAATCCATGAATACATGAGCAGATAAGCAGAAAACAATGTGAGAAGAGCCCCAGTGGAGGTGAGCACAGAATGTTGTGGGAGCATTAAGAAAGAGTCACAGCAGGGAAGTAGGATAGGAAGAATGTTCAGGAAAGCTTTCTCAAAGAAGCTACACCTGTGATAACTTTGTATACATGGGGTCACAAAGAGTCAGACACGACTGAAGTGACTTAGCACACACGCACATTAGTTTTGATAGTGTGACCGGCATCTTCGATCTCTAGCTGCATACCTCCATCCTATGTCTCCGAGATGAATCTTCTTGACAAATGTCCACTCTTTGTTTCTAACTTGTGGGCACCATGGCTCCACTCTCCATTAGTGTAAGAAAAGCCCTATTTGTTTATGTGCTTAAATAGACAAGAGACACAGGTAACAGTGGTTACCACTAGGAAGTACAATGGAGTTTACGGGGAACAAGTTTTAATTTTTCATCTATGCCTCTGTACCCTTTGCATTATTTTTATAATGAGAATATTTTACTTTTATAATTTAAAAAAATATTTTCTTGGGTGCACTGTATGGTATGTGGGATCTTAGTTCCTCAACCAGGAATTGAACCTTGCCCCTTGCATTGGAAGCACAATCTTAATCACTGCACCATCAGGGAAGTCCTGACTTTTATAATTTTGATAAACTTATTGAAGTAAACCTTTATATACAGAAAAGTGCACAAATCATGTTAGTGAATTTTCATAAAGTAAATACAGACATTGTAACCATCACCCAGACTGAACAGTTGTAGATTTTTACTAGCATCTTGGAAGTCCACCTCTTGTCTCCTTCCAATCACCTCCACTTCTCACAAAGGTAACCACTATTCTGCCTCCTATCACCAAAGAATCATTTTGACTAAGATTGCCAGTTGTTCCTTATCCTCACTAGCAATTGATATCATCAGCATTATTTATCTTAGCCCTTCTAACAAGTCTGTAGTATTGTCTCATTGTAGTTTTGATTTGACTAATGGGGCTTTCCATGTGGTGCTAGTGATAAAGAACTCGCTTGCCAGTGCAGGTTAGATGTAAGAGACATAGGTTCAATCCCTGGATCGGGAAGATCCGTGGAGGAGGGCAGGCCAACCCACCCCAGTATTCTTGCCGGTATTCTTGCCTGGAGAATCCCAAGGATAGAGGAGCTTGGCAGGCTACATAGGGTCGCAAAGAGTCGGACATGACTGAAGCAACTTAGCATGCACGCAGTGGCTAATGATGTTGACCATCACTGCATGTGCTCATTTGCTATCCACATGTCTACTTGCATGCTAACATCCTCCATAAATATAGAACATAATCATTTAAGAAAATTATTTGAAAATAATAACTATTTTATAATTATTATTACATAATAATATATAATACACTATTATATATTATAATTGTTATTAATAATTATTATCACAAATAATAATTGAATAATAAATAAGTAAAAATAAAAAATAAAAATAAATATTATTAATAATAGCTATTATTTCAAACAATCCCCTCAAAGGGGATATCCTTTGAGTGTAACAATTCTTCCAAGAGGCAGATTAGGGTGGTGGAAACAGCCAGATCTCGGTAGCAGGCATTTCAGACTACCATACATGATATGGGATCTTAGGCGTATCTTTGAACCTCTTTGTGCCTTGGTTGCTTTGCCTATGAAGCAAAGATAATAATAGTTCTTGCTTTATAGGCTGGGTCTGAGGATTAGATGAGAAAATTATGCAAGGTTCTATGCTTCATACCTGAGACGGCCAGTGTTCATCAGTGTCTCTCTACCCTTCTGGTAAAGCCTGGAAAGAGGCAAGAAAGAGAAGGTTGTCCTTGAGGCAGTCAACGGCTTAGTATCTGAGGGAGAATGGATTAGAGATTCCTCTTTCTCTAGCTCTAAGAGAAAAAAAACTCGAATTGTGTTCTGGGGGTAGGATTCTGTCCCCTCACTTCCTGCTGTCTCCACATCCCCAGCCCACCAAGCAGTAGGAGCAACCTGCTTTGAAGGAAATTCTAGAAGAAATTCTAGTCATAACTGGGCTTTTGGACAATTTAGACACCTCCTGCCATATGTCTAGTAGAGAGACACAAGCCCCGTGGCATCTTTCTGTATAAGTCCTCCAGGTTCTCCCATTGATGTTTCCTGTAGCAGGACTGGGCTTCCCTGGTGGCCCTCCTGCCTGCCAATGCAGGAGACACAGGAGACATGGGTTTGATCCCTGGGTAGGGAAGATCCTCTGGAGAAGGACATGGCAACCCACTCCAGTGTTATTTCCTGGGAAATCCCACGGACAGAGGAGCCTGGCAGGCTACAGTCCAGGGCTACATGTTCAGAGCTGGACATGACTGAGTGACTGCTGCTGCTGCTGCTAAATCGCTTCAGTCATGACCGACTCAGTGCGAGCCCATAGATGGCAGCCCACCAGGCTCCTCCATCCATGGGATTTTCCAGGCAAGAGTACTGGAGTGGGGTGCCATTGCCTTCTCTGGACTGAGTGACTAAACAACAATAATAATGGCAGGACTGCACAAAGGCCCCTGTGCTTGATATCAAGTAGTTAGTGTCTGTTCAGCAAATATTTGCCCTGGACTTAGCAAGCACTAGGCTCTCTGATATGTCTGGGGAACCAAAATGAGAAAGAAAAGAGTGCTAGTTAAGGAGAAAAGCATGGAGGAGGAAAATTCCTGGAAGAGGTGACACTGGTGGAATTTTCTGGATGAGGGAAGAATGCTTTCCAGGCCTAGCCCAGGCAATGACCCAGGGGCTGGAGCCCGCGGGCTCTCTCTTCCTGAGTCTGCAGTCTCGGGACCACAGCCCTGCTCTGGGCTCTGCACAGTAGCTATCCCAGGGTTTTCCAATGTGCCCTTAAAATGGAGCATCACCTTATGAGGACTTTCTAGTAAAAAACATCCTCTTTGTTCCAGGGTAAAGGGTCTCAGGGATCAAGTGCTGCATGGGTGGGTAAATTTGGGGGCACCCTTCTCTCTTCAGAAATCAGCCTGATATGCTGGAACATAAAAGACCTGTCTGTGTGCTTTCTAGCTCATTTTTTACCTTCCTCACTGCAGTCTCAGACTACCTTCTGCATTTCCCCCAGAGTCCAGAATTTCAGTAAACTGGTTCCTAGCTCTTATTCCCCTGAATTTTTCCATGTAGCCTCTCTCTGGGGCCCTAATCTATCTCTACCCTAATCCTTCTTCTTGACTTAATTTGTCCAGGGTTCTCTCTTCTCCCTGCCCCCAACTCAGCTTCTAACTATTCTCCAGGCTTTCTTTTTCAGTTCTAACTGAAGGCTCAGGCAGTCCCTCCCAGACCCCTCCTGCATCTATTCCAACAACCCCTTGGGGCTATTTCTCAAATGAGAGCTCCTGCTCCTAACTTCTGTCCTAGGTCTCCTCCCAGGAGACTGTCCTCTTCATGGGGACTGACTCAGGTGCCCTCCAGTTCTCCAACAGTATCTCCTGGGGCAGCCTCAAGGTTTTTGAAATGGGGAAACTGAGGCTCAGAAAAGGGGGATGACTTACCAGGGTCCAGCAGCAATTTAATAACAGAGTAAAACTAGCCCAGGCCTTCAGACTTCTAGCCAATGCTCTTTCCCAGGAATCAGGCTGCCTCTCAGAAGGCTCCGATCTTGTTGCTGCCATTAGCTCCCACCCACTGACTGCACCAGGCACCCATCTCTCTCAGCACTTCCTTCCTGACCCACTTCATTAAGACTGAAGCTGGCCTGTCCAAGCTTCTGACTCAGCAGCCCAGCAAAGAACATCCAGCCCTGTCTGCATCTGATTAAGGGAACACTGGAGGCAGGAAGCCTTTTTTTTTCCTTCTGGCAGGGTGGGGGATGCAAAAGAAGTTGGGGGGGTCAATGAAATGGTAAGATGTCAGGGACTACAGGGAAGGGGTGGGAGGTGAAAGCATTATATCAAAACATTTAGGATTCTGAAGACATTCCTGACTGTCCAGAGATCAAGACTCCGAGCTTCTACTGTAAGGGGCACAGAGATCCTGCACACTGCATGTTTTGGCCAAAAAAATATATATATATATGGAAAAAGTTCAAAAGGAAAAAAAGGTAGTAATATCCCTTTAAGAATTAAAATTAATAATTTATGATTTCTAGTTAAATACATTTGGGTAACACAAATATATTTACTGACTTAGAAGGACCCCTGTGATACACTGTTAGTGCAAATATCATGGCAAAAATAGAATGTTCCCATAGTTCTACTTCTGTAAAAATAAGTTGAGCGTGTCCCCAAAGTGCCTATGAGCAGTAGTTTGAAATTGGCTGTATGTTCCCCTCCACTCTCTGCACCCATGTTAATTTTTGCCCAGAGATTAATGGTTGACAAAGACCACAACCTTGGAGAGCTGCTGTAACATAGGCTTTCACTTTCAAATAAATGGAGCCAAGAACTTTTCTCTTTCACAATGTGCCACAGTGAATGGTGCCATCTTGTTCAATGTGGATATATTTTTATTTTTTAATATATTGATTTGTTTACTGGGTGCACTGGGTCTTAATTGCACCATGCAGGATCTAGTTCCCTGACCAGGGATCAAACCCTGGCCCCCTGCATTGGGAATGGAGAGTCTTAGCCACTAGACCACCAGGGAAGTCCCTGTTCAGTGTGGATCTGGAATGGCTCCCACCAGAAAACATCTACATCTAATGCAACATCTAATCCAGTCAAGGGTTTTGACATCAAGATGTTTTCTGACTGGGAAGAGCAGGAAGCTCTGGGGCCTCCTATTGTCACAGGATCACTGATGCCTACAGACCTCTTTCCTGACATGAGGGTCCCAACTATATCTAAAGCCTGTTCAAATAAGCAACAGGATTGACACTTGCAGTGGTTTGAATAGCGTCACCCCTCCCCGCCAAATTCTTGTCCTCCCGGAATCTGTGAATGTGAACTTAGTTGGAAATAGAATCTTTGCAGATATTAGTTAAATTAAGATGAGATCATACTGAAGTAGGATGGGCCCTAGTTCAATGACTGATGTCTTCACATGAAGAGGAAAATTTGGACATGGACTCAAATTGAGGGAAGATGGCAATGTGAAGATGGAGGCAGAGATTGGATTGATGTGGCCAAAAGCCAAGGAATGTCAAGGGTTGCTGGCTGTCACCAGAAGCTGAAAGAGGCCAAAAAGGATTCTTCCCTAGAGTCTTGGGAAGGAGCACGTCCCTGCCAAAACCTTGATCTCAGACTTCTGGCCTCCAGAACGGTGAAAGACTACATTTCTGTTGTTTTAAGCCACTCAGTCTGTGGCACTGTATTAAAGCAGTCATTGGAAAACAATACCAAACATATCTGAAAAAAAAAATGCTCCATCTTCTGAAATGTTGCTCCAGTTGAGACGAGGCGAAAGATGCTCATCAACAGAGGACACACTCTCAAGCCTGGGGACTGTGTGGTCCCTCCGCTTATGCTCTACACTGGTCTATACATGCATGGAGAACTGGAAAGAACCCAAGACTTGTCTTTGAGTGATAAATTCTGGGAAATTTTTATCTTTTTGTTTTAACTTGTATTTTCTAAGTTTCCCACATGGCTATGTATTGCTTGTGTAAAATATATGTATATACATCTACCTGGCATCTACTTATCCATCTACTGATCTTTAATTACTAATAGGTTTATATACTCAAAGAATCTTCCAAGTCAGATAGCTTTAGATTACCTTCATTTCTTGTGGATCCAAGGCTAGGAACTACTCTTGAAAATCCCAGTGGTGGGGAATGTAGACAATAATAAAACCCTGTGTCTGTGTGGTATTCCATGCTTTTTAAAGAGCATTCCTCATCAATCCATTCAATGCCATACCCCTCTCTGGTGGATAAAGAATCTGAGACTCATAGGGTTGTTGAGGAACTTGTTTAAGGTTTCATAGCTAATAACTCATGGGGCTGTGACTAGCACTCATGGTCCCAACACCTGGTCCAGTAGCACTTTCTAGAAGGTAAGATCTATAAAGACACTGCTTTTTGTCTGTCTTGTTCTCCTAGCCCTTGTATCTCCAGAACTTAGAATGGTGCCAGGTATACAGTAGGTGATCAGTACCTTTTCATTGAATGAATGTGACAAAAGCAAGCTCCTCCCTAGAAGCATTTTCTGCTACTAAGAACATTTTTGTTCAGATTAAGCTTCGTGCTCTGCAGAAGATACCCCACTCTCTTCTCAGTCCCTATTCTTTCACACAACCTGCTCCTCTGCCCCCATCCCCCAAAGGGTAGCTAATTTCTAGGACTGACCTCTCAGATCACCTACAGGGATAACCCCAAGTGGTGTGGTTCAAAGTGAGTATGGAAAAGGCTCCTCATCCAAAAATAATGCCACTCAACAAAAAGATCCAGGGTCAAGAGGGGGGCAGGCTTTGCCAGTGGGTGGGGTTGTCAACCTCAGAATGATTTATTTGGTTCTGAGACAAGGAATAAGACATATCAAGAAATACTGACACACAATATGGGGACTATAGCCAATATTTTATAATACCTGTAAATGAAAAGTAACCTTTAAAAATTGTATACAGATAAAAATTAAAGTGAAGGAAAAAGAAAGAATTATTAACACAGAGAAAAGACATACACACGGAGGAAATGGCAGCAAGGTGGATAGAGAAGAGTCTCAGTTCAGAAGGAGGACATGAGAAGTACAGAAAATGTCCAAAAGTGAGTCAAGAAGGAAGACTTGGTGAAACTGGGAAAAAGGAAGCAGGGTGGGGCAGGCAGAAAACACTCCCGCCTAGCCCATCATCTTCGCCCAACCCCCAGTCCTCACATCCTCTCCTAAGGATACCCCTCCCACCTCCCTCCACACAGGTGACATCTTCCCACAAGGCCTTGTGTGTGGGGTGGGGTGGAGGGGTGATTCCATGAAGGCAGGCTTTGTACAGAGGGGCTGGCTGCCACCCCAAGTCTCCTTTATTTAAGTGCAAATTTCTGGGAAACTTTAAAGCTGCTCCCTGCCCTGCCTGGGGGGTTTCCCAGGTGGCTTAGTGGTAAAGAATCATTTTGCAATGCAGGAGACAAAGGTTCTATCCCTGAGATAGAAGATCTCCTGGAGAAGGAAATGGCAACCCAATCCAGTATTCTTGCCTGGAAAATTCCATGGACAAAGGAGCCTGGCAGGCTACAGTCCACGAGGTCTCAAAGAGTCAGACACCAACCAACTGAGCGACTAAACAACAGTAACAAAGCCCTGCCTCAGAGGGTGTGGGTGTGGCTACTTTCCAGGCTGAGAAGGACAGTGTTTCTGGAAGCCCAGAAGCCAAGGACTTCAATTGGAGAAGGGGAGGGAGTGGGGGCTTCTGAGCACAGAGGTCAGGGAGCAGAGCTCTGGGGACCCTTTAGGATTTCACAAATCTCCTTTTCCCTGACCTTTTCCCATTTAGCCAGGACAACAAAAGGAAGCTTAAAAAGAATTATGGGCCAATTAACTGAAGGTAAGGAAGTTGCTTAAAAAGGAATGCCCACACCCGGGCACTATTGTCTTAATTAAAGACCATTCCTGGCTAATTTATTTGAGGAGAAGAGGGGTGCTGTTTTCACGGCAAAAGATTTCAAGAGATCATATATTGACGTGGTTCAATTACTAATTCTCCTATTTTTGTACTTTTAAACAAAAGACCTGTCTCAAAATCTACTCCCAACTGTGAGCAAAATAGACATTTGCAGCTTAAGACACAAGAATTTTCCATCCATGGAGTGGGTATCCATAAAGTTGATGAACAATGAAAATTACTGCATTTTCAGAGTTAGCTCTTTTGAAACCGGAAATGTGACAGAGCTGACTTAGAACTAAGACTTTCTCTTACTCCTGTAAGAAAGAGGAAAGGCTGTGTGCAAGGTAGCAGTGATGTGCAAAAACCACAGTAGAGGTTTTGTAAAGAAGAGCAATTGTGGCTTTTGCACAAGTTATTCCTAAACCGAGGCCGGGGACGGCATATGACACCTTTCAAAGCCGCTTCTGGACTGGTATTTCACTGAAATGAAGAAGATCTCTGAGCAAGACCGGAAAGCCAAAACTCTGTTTCATGACCTCTGCAGGAAAGTAATGGTTGCATTATGGAACATTCTAGAATGGCAGGCTCAAACCGTGGTGTGGAAGAACAGTAGGCCTTTTTGGGTGGGAGGGGGAGAGGCAGGGAAAATATAATTCCCAATTAGGTTTCTGACAGATTTTCCACTCTCTCTCCCCACCCCCTCACTTACTTCTGTGCTTCTTCTTTAGCCATCTCCTCTAGCACAGGGGATTTGATTCAATAGCTGGAAAAAAGGATGTAGAGGAAACAGGAAAAAAGGTAATGTCAATCTCAGGAAGTTCAGAATATTTTTAAATCAAAAGCTGCCTGCATATATAGAGAATCTACATCACGTACCCATTATACTGGGAGTGCTCTAAGTAAATCAGGCCCTTGGATGTAGCCTTGGAAAAGAGTTTCACTGTAAATATTGTTTTAGAACTAATCCGTATTTGGATAAGAAGAAAAGAAGACAGGTTAACTAGGTGAACAGAAGGAAATCACTAATGAGTAAGAAAATGAACAGGGAAAGCAAAGAATTGACCTGATACAGTAGAATGAATTTCTTTTGTCCCTCATGGGGTTTCTTGGACTGACTTAAGCTCCTATAGGATAAACTAGGAATTTTTTGTTGTTGCACCACA